TGCAACAACAAGGAGACCAGCAATACTGCACCTCAAGTCACGCACACGTTTTGTAGTTCCTCTCACATGAACACGGCAATGCCTTCCGGTTGTGCAAGCGTGGAGTGCACGCCCCAACGGTTGTCGTTGCCGTGTAGGATGGAGACGAAGTAGTTCGCCGCGTTTTCGGGGACGGTGCCCCCACTGTCGCTCTTCAGGTGATAGCCAGCGGGAGTGTTGGGGAGCACTGAAGACGGTGTGTCGGCAGGCGCGGCATTGGCTATGTCGAGATAGCAAATGGGGATTCGGCCATATACACAAATCGGACGGGGAGAGCCCCATCCTCCGAACTTGGCTGCAGCCCGTAAGGCTCCGCTGAGGCTGTTGACAGAAGCGCGAGAGTAAAAGGCTGGACTTGGTAGCCAAGAGTCGTCAAGGGGGTCGAAATTGCTGGGGCGGATGCAGCCTTCTTTAAGGATGCCAAAAGCCGCCTGAAGGTCAGTGTTGTGACCGAAATACGCGACGGCAGGTGCCCCGCTAATGCGCTGTGCCGCCGCCGGGAAGGGAAGTGAGACCATCAGCATCGGTCTGCCTGCTTGGTCTGGTTGATGTTGGGGGGCCTCGACGTGCGTAAACTTGAACTGGACACTGTGAGGATGGTATCCGGTATGTACCAACAGATGCATCACTGTGAGTATCGGATCCGCTAGGGTGAAAGGCACTTCAAAATGGCGTCCCTCCAAAAGTAACTCCCGTTGACATTGCCGGCGATGAGGGAGCGCTTTGAGGTAGGACCTGTGTTGCAGCAATGCAGTATACACTCGATCCCAGTGCACCGCCTTGAGGGAGCCCAGCCGTGTGGAATAATCGGATTGCAAATAGTTGTCAAGTTGCCCTGCCGTGGCCAAACACTGGCGTAAGGTTGCCAACGTGCAAGCGGAGCTGAAGGGAGCTGCTGAGGTCGAAGACGCTGTAGGCGGAGACGTCAAGGATGCCGTAGGGGTGGTAGCAGGATCCGGCAGCGAAGTAGAAACAGAGGCATCGGCAGGCACCGAGTGGTCGTTGCTGGAGGAAAGCGGGGTTGAGCCAGTAGGAAGTAGACCAGGCCAAAACGTGCTCGCAGGTAGTGGAGAAAGATCAGGAAGAGTGCTTGGAGCTGCCATATCGACAGGTCGTGGAGGCTGCAAGGGGTCAGCGATTCGGCCGGATAAAGTAGAACGTTGAGGTGCCGCAGTCCGGGTCGTAGGTGCCGCCGGCGTTGACGACGAAGAGGAAGAGGAAGACGATGAGGACGAAGATCTCGGGCGTGGCCGAGATCGTGAGCGAGAGGGTGCAGTCGTCCGGAGTCCAGGTGCACAGGACGGACGTGGGCGAGGAAGCATGGCGAATGCAGAAAAGCAATGCACAGCCTACAACAGCAACTACTACAGGAAAAACCACTAGAACGTTACGGTCAAAACTCTTCCTGCCTGAGTCCTTGGGTGTGAGTGCTTGAAGCTGCTTTGGCTGCAATCGCGTTTTGGTAGGCATGGAGCCGAATTTGTGGGTGCCATAAGAGGCGGTTAGGCCGTGTGGCTTCACTGCTCTCCTCATTGAACTGAGCTAAGCGCTGACACTGAATGTGGCGCCTCCGAACTTGGAGGATCTGAGCGCAGCACCGAGGCATACACCACCGTCCCGGAGGACTACACACTGAATGCTAAGGAAGGTTTCGGTATGCGACGGACCACCTGATGTCCAGGTCTCAAGCGACCACACATCAGAGACTTCGGACTGGTAGCTTCATGGACAGCAACTGCAAAGAGGAAGTGCAGAAAGTCTGTGGTTGACACCTCAACCTGCCTAACTAAACCACAACACCAGCCTGAACCCCCAACGCACCGAAAGACACGGCAAGGACTGAGGAGGTGGACACTGGCACTGAGCAATGCATGCATGTGTACTCGCTAAACGGGGTTCTCGGCTTAGCCCCAGGCCATCCAGAAACCAGCGCATACCAGACGACATGAACTCAAGCACTGACTGTTTCTGAAGTTATACCACAGCTGCAGGAGAACGACTGAGCGGGGTTCTTGGCTTAGCCCCATGCCATATCCAGAGAAGCGCAACCAGAATAATAATAGCCAAGTAAAACCAATGTACAGCGAAGATGATATACGATGTCACAAACGGCAGGTACACACGGTTGATCAGACCGTGCTTCACCAGGGTATCCAGAGTGTCTTCGTTGGTGGCAGACTCTGGACCCTGCTGCCACCCCCTGCTGTGTACTCTGTACTCAAGTTCGGTTATATGCAAATCGCAAGTAGTAAACGGCTGCAGAGCGTGAGGAGAAGGCCCTTGGATACAGGGTTGTCACACACTTAGATATCCATCGCGCAGCCACTCATCAATTTGGTTATCAAGCACCGCTTGATGTATCACGAAAGCATGAAGCTTTCAAGGGGGTCCGGTACCAATCTGGCCTCAAGGCTCATCTTCAGTCGATCACTTTGTTTTCCAATGGCCAATCCAGCTGTGCCTCCAGCACCCAGGAACTGACCTGCAGGTACGTTTTCCTGTCCATCTGACACAGAGCTTCGTTGGCGCGAGCTGTGTCAGAGGACCCCGCGCCCCCTGCATGAAAGTATACGAATGAATCATTAGCACCTTGGCAAACATGTGTTCCACACACACACCCCGCTTTGCGGGGTAGCCAACAAGCTTCTTTGCTTGGCCCCTAGTTTGCAATGGGGAAGCGGAAACTGAAAAAGGAACCGACAAAAGCTCTGCAGGAGGGCGGGCGGTTGGCTGTGTAGCCTTAAAACATAATAGCAGTGAAGGTAAAGGAGCTGCAGCTGGAGGCAGCCTTTCAGGCTGGAAAAAGCCTCCCTGGCTGCGAGCATTGAAAAAGATAAAACTATGACTACGAAACGACACATGCGGAAAAAGGAAAAGGGACGGTAAAGGGTGGCCACATGAGGCCCTGCAAATCCCGGTAGAGGACTGCACTTGCAGTTCGCAGGTCTTACAGAATGCCGCAGCCCTGCAGTGCATGTCCTATTAACACGGTCAAGCATCCACAGTTCGCAGGTCTTACTGAAATGCCGCAGCCCCGCGGTGCTTGCCGACCGACAGCTGAGACAGCCAGGGCGTTTAAGAAAGCAGCACCTCCCCAATGTTCCTGTTGTGGCACAGTTTTTGACAGTTGTCAGAGTTGGCAGGGGCCGTGAAATGAGACCCTCTGCCCCCTGCAGTCTTTCGAAAAGCTGCATTACACTCATGTTGTCAAACAAATCGATTTGTGGCCACAAGCTGCACTCAAGTGCCCATGCCGACCACTACAGGTACGTTTACCTGTCTCGATTTCACGGAGTAAAGCTTTTGTCTCGGAGCTGAAATCGTGGTCTGCGGATAGAGAAGCCGGTGGTTCCATCGGATCTGCAAAAATTCAGGACCTGCAATGAAACCTGGCATCAAACCTGACATGAAGTCAGGAACGAAGAAAACATCGCGACTGTAGTAACCGGATGTCGGCACCATCGGAGCAGAAAATACAGTCGGAACTGGAAGGACCACGACGGGCCCAAAACAATGTATCCCTGCCTTTATCAGATCCACCCTGGCAGGTACTCGCACGGGCTAACCCCGTCGCAGGTAGCGCGGTAAACGAATACAAGACCAGCTTGTAACTACCTGGTACACACTTAGATATCCATCGCGCAGCCACTCATCAATTTGGTTATCAAGCACCGCTTGATGTATCACGAAAGCATGAAGCTTTCAAGGGGGTCCGGTACCAATCTGGCCTCAAGGCTCATCTTCAGTCGATCACTTTGTTTTCCAATGGCCAATCCAGCTGTGCCTCCAGCACCCAGGAACTGACCTGCAGGTACGTTTTCCTGTCCATCTGACACAGAGCTTCGTTGGCGCGAGCTGTGTCAGAGGACCCCGCGCCCCCTGCATGAAAGTATACGAATGAATCATTAGCACCTTGGCAAACAGGTGTTCCACACACACACACACACACACACACACAGAGTAGGATTTCGGCAAGAGCAAGAGGAAAGAAGAAAGCAACTGTGGGGCGGGGTGTTGCACCACAGGGGGCCTGTCCTGTTTCTCTCATCTTGGCACCCTGCCTTGCAGGACAAGACGATGGAAATACATGAGAGCATTAATTACATGAGACGATGATAAATTTTGTTGCGTATGCATGCCAGACACCAGGAATGGCATGCTAAAACTAATGCTTTTGGGTAGGGTTCTGCCCCGGTGTGCCAGACTCAAGAGGATGGCCACCAAATGAGATGAAAGGAGTGGGGTGCACTGCCGTGAGGAGCTTCGTTGGACAGCTCCCTCTGTCCCCCTGCTGTAATGAAAGGCTGTAATGAAAGGAGTAAGGAAGTTCACGCACACACACTGTTGAAATTCGGCAAGAGCCAGAGGAAAGCAGGGAAGAGGGGTTTGGTTTGGTTGTTGTTTATTGCTGCCGCTTATGAAACAAGATGGTGTTGATGGCGGATTTTTATTGCCACGCATCCCAGACATCAAGAATGGCATACAAAACTTGTAATGAAGATGATGCGTGAGGGTGTGGATCATGCCCTCGCTGTGTCAAACACCAGGAATGGCACAGCACGAAATGAGTGCAATGAGATGGAGACGAAAATGAAAATGACTGTATCCCCCAGCTGCCCGCGCTGAGGCCCAGGGCGGATGCGAGCAGGTACGTTTGCACAAGGACCCCTCCTGGTCCCCTGCAGAATGAAATTGAAGGAGTGACCCTCCTTCCACACACACACACACACACGCGTACAAGGCAGGAAATGCTCTGAAAATGCAGCGACAAAACGGAGAACCGTGGGAACAAATAACACTGCCCTTCACAGTTCTGCCATGTGTCAGGCGGAACCTTGGCAGACTAACCCTCACAAAGAGACTTCCTGTGCAATCACGCCATCACATTGGCAAGAAACGAAGTGCCACAAAGCTTTGGCCAGCCCAAGTCCATGAGCAGCACTGCTCACTGAGAGCGCAACAGGGGGGAATGCTTGCGCTGCCTTCGTCTTTGCAAAAGCAGCCTGAACATCAGACTACTCACGACTGTGACATTCCTCGAGCGAGCTTCTGCACACGAAAAGACGTGCCTCGGCAGTCCTCTTCGACTGGCCCTTCCGCACCGGTAGCATACTCGCTGGATGAGCATCTCATGACGTCAAAACCTTCAAAAGCTCAGAGCTCGACGCTGTCCGTCGACCGTCGCAGCTGGGGACTGTCATCCCCTGGCTGCTCTGCGTCCACAACACGCACCTTCACGGGCTGTGCCGATCTACCGGTGTTGCGCTCCACTTGATAGGACTCTGCTGCACTCGTGTACTGAGCGCAGCACTTGTGCGTCTGAATCGGCCTCACGCGCCTGCTGCCATCAGGTCTCTCGTGAGTGTTTTGCACCAGCAGGGAAACAGCCAGCCTGTGGCACCGCCTTCTCTTTGGGCACTGCCTCTGACAAGGGTCGACGCACTGCTCCGGCACAATGGCTCGGTTTCGGCCTCCAGGCTTCTCTTTGGCCGGCCGCGTCCGCGGGCGCCCTGCTTGGCCGACGCCTGGCCAAGACATCGTGAGGCTACGGCAGTGGTCAGTTCTTGCCATTCCAAGTTCAAGAGAAGCAGATAGAGTACGGATGGTATCCAGTGCGACCAGTTGAGAGTTTAGAGAATGAGTGTCTGTCATGCCCTACATGCTGCATGCAACTCCAAGACATGGACCTGTCAAACAGCCTAGCTGTCACTAGCCAGATGCTCGAGACGATCAGCCCTTCTGACCCTCCTCTTCAATCCAACTACCAGTTTCCCCAGTTGCTGTGCCGCCGAGCCCAAGTCCATGAGCAGCACTGCTCACTGAGAGCGCAACAGGGGGGAATGCTTGCGCTGCCTTCGTCTTTGCAAAAGCAGCCTGAACATCAGACTACTCACGACTGTGACATTCCTCGAGCGAGCTTCTGCACACGAAAAGACGTGCCTCGGCAGTCCTCTTCGACTGGCCCTTCCGCACCGGTAGCATACTCGCTGGATGAGCATCTCATGACGTCAAAACCTTCAAAAGCTCAGAGCTCGACGCTGTCCGTCGACCGTCGCAGCTGGGGACTGTCATCCCCTGGCTGCTCTGCGTCCACAACACGCACCTTCACGGGCTGTGCCGATCTACCGGTGTTGCGCTCCACTTGATAGGACTCTGCTGCACTCGTGTACTGAGCGCAGCACTTGTGCGTCTGAATCGGCCTCACGCGCCTGCTGCCATCAGGTCTCTCGTGAGTGTTTTGCACCAGCAGGGAAACAGCCAGCCTGTGGCACCGCCTTCTCTTTGGGCACTGCCTCTGACAAGGGTCGACGCACTGCTCCGGCACAATGGCTCGGTTTCGGCCTCCAGGCTTCTCTTTGGCCGGCCGCGTCCGCGGGCGCCCTGCTTGGCCGACGCCTGGCCAAGACATCGTGAGGCTACGGCAGTGGTCAGTTCTTGCCATTCCAAGTTCAAGAGAAGCAGATAGAGTACGGATGGTATCCAGTGCGACCAGTTGAGAGTTTAGAGAATGAGTGTCTGTCATGCCCTACATGCTGCATGCAACTCCAAGACATGGACCTGTCAAACAGCCTAGCTGTCACTAGCCAGATGCTCGAGACGATCAGCCCTTCTGACCCTCCTCTTCAATCCAACTACCAGTTTCCCCAGTTGCTGTGCCGCCGAGCCCAAGTCCATGAGCAGCACTGCTCACTGAGAGCGCAACAGGGGGGAATGCTTGCGCTGCCTTCGTCTTTGCAAAAGCAGCCTGAACATCAGACTACTCACGACTGTGACATTCCTCGAGCGAGCTTCTGCACACGAAAAGACGTGCCTCGGCAGTCCTCTTCGACTGGCCCTTCCGCACCGGTAGCATACTCGCTGGATGAGCATCTCATGACGTCAAAACCTTCAAAAGCTCAGAGCTCGACGCTGTCCGTCGACCGTCGCAGCTGGGGACTGTCATCCCCTGGCTGCTCTGCGTCCACAACACGCACCTTCACGGGCTGTGCCGATCTACCGGTGTTGCGCTCCACTTGATAGGACTCTGCTGCACTCGTGTACTGAGCGCAGCACTTGTGCGTCTGAATCGGCCTCACGCGCCTGCTGCCATCAGGTCTCTCGTGAGTGTTTTGCACCAGCAGGGAAACAGCCAGCCTGTGGCACCGCCTTCTCTTTGGGCACTGCCTCTGACAAGGGTCGACGCACTGCTCCGGCACAATGGCTCGGTTTCGGCCTCCAGGCTTCTCTTTGGCCGGCCGCGTCCGCGGGCGCCCTGCTTGGCCGACGCCTGGCCAAGATGCTGGACTTCCGGCTGGGTAAACGGAACTGCCACATTCTTCTCAGGATGTGGCCTCAGGAGCACCAGGTCCTGTCTTCGGAGCTTGGCAGCTGAGATCCGAACCAGTTATCTCCCCAAGATCTAGGACTTTACACACGGAGTCAAGACATATCGATGAGGGTCTGGCTCTCGATCCAAAGAGTGCGTTGGAGTCGTGCGAGCAGGTATGCCAGCCGCCACGATCCCCACCTTAAGAGGTGTCAGGAACCAGGCGGCACCTTTCTAGCCGCATCTTCCCGCACAAACTACACTGATTACAGCAAAAGCCAGACATATTGGCTTTTTGGAACATCAATGCAACACACTGGGAAGCAGATTCCGTTCTGCGACGTGGGCGGCGGCAAATCAAAACTTTTTTCACTCAACAACTTCTGCATCTCAGTTGTGCACTTCTTGATGCTGAACCATGCAGTTCTGCCTTCGTACATTCAGCGCTTTGACAATGACTAACGAAATCTGACAAGCCCAACGGCCCGGCATGCTATCAAAGGGCCTGCCGTGCTCACAATCCAGCCGGCACCTCTCCTTGGAAAGAGCTTCAGGAACTTCTGCTGCGAGCACTGGAACCAACCATAGATTTTCCAACGATTCAACTGACGAGCCCAAGTCCAATGCCTGGACCGCCGCAATGAGGCAAGCAAGACCGTGATAAAGTAGCAGGAGCAGCACGAAAACACTTCACAGGCCCTGCTGCACATCGCGAAGCAGTTTACGGTATGCCAAGTGGCTCATCCTGCCAGTGGCGCAGGTCTTTCAGGTCAGATGCCTGACGCAACGAGATGGACAGCTCCGCAAACATGCGCATGCCTGTGACAGGAGCCACTGCAGCTCAAAGTGCTCTTTAGCCTCATTTTCGTGACGAAGGCCCGGTTGACTTGGTACTGGCTGCAACGTCCTGACCGAGTACAACAGAACCTGGGAATCTGATGCGCCTACATTCCATGTCTGCACCTGTCTGTCGGCTCAGCACGGTAAGCGGCCACGAATTGCACCTCAACGGTTGCACCAATTCAGGCTGCCCGGCTCCCGTCACAGAACTTGAAGTGAGATACGTGGTAAAGGCAGCGTGCAAGATCCGCTGCGAGAACTCCCTCTCTGAAGCACCAGCCCTCACCCGCTTCGCTGCTTCTGAAAACTATTTAGTATATCACAAGCCAATACTCGAGGAATCGGTGAAAAAACTTCTTTACAAGGAGAATGGCGAAGTGCAGCTCGAGCGACGTACTGGCTCTTTTCCAAGGCCCCTTGGGGATTGATCTTGGCTCCTGCTGATGTGAAAAGAGCATCTGCCGGGTCCGCTGCCCAACCTTCCAGACTTCAACAGCCGTCGTGAAACCAACATAACATAAGTGTGGGCGAAATCATATCTTTGACATGAGAACGGAATACGGAATCTACATACGAAGATGACTCTGAAAGCCCACTGCACGAGCGGTTCTGGTCGTCTGTGTGCGTATACTATGTACGAGTGTGGTTCTATATATAGATATAGAAATACATATATATATACACATACACATACACATACACGTACATATACATATACATATACATATACATCTACATCTACATCTACATCTACATCTACATCTACATCCACATCCACATCCACATCCACATCCACATCCACATCCACATCGACATCTACATCTACATCTACATCTACATCTCCATCTGCATCTGCATCTGCGTCTACATCTACATTTACATCTACATCTACATCTACATCTACATATACATATACATATACATATACATGTACATATATACATACATACATGGATATTGTTTATACACATACATGCATACATATACATACATGCATACTTACGTACATACATACATACATACAGATGCATATATGAATGTATACGGATACTTCTGTGCGGGTGCGCATATGCATATGTCAGATGTCATTATACCTGAGACTGACATCCACAAACTGCTGATACTTGCCACTTCCAAATACTACTTGGCATACGCCATGCTAGGATACCATGAAAGTATGATATTTCTTCTTACATAATTACAACTGCACATGCACACAAACACACACATACAATGCATATGCAAGCACGTACACAACACGTAAATAATATTCAACGTTTAAACAACACATCAACAAAATATGAACAACACATGCAACATATACACAACACACGCAATACATATGTTTCACATAAACATGCATACACGTATCACGAACCCATACACACATACAGTTACGTATTATGGCGACATGTAACAGCATTAGCATCGATGATTTCAATCGGGTGCCTTCTTTGGCAGAATGCCGCATGGCTGGCCATTGCAGGTTCCACCCTACATTCCAAACTTTTCTCAAGCTTGCATTCACACCCTGTTCGACATCCGGTCGGATCCTCTTGGTGAGGACCCTGTAAATTGATATTCCTGGTTTACAAGCCCCAGACTTGAATGGCAAAGCGTGTTCTTGATATGCCGGTGCAAACCGACTGAACCATCAAATTTTTTTGGCGTGGGCGGAGCCTTGTCCGTCACGGCGCCTACAAACTGCAACCTTCGTTCTGAATCTCCCGAGGCGGAAACAAGAGGGTTGGTAATCTACCCGAATCCAAGGCAATGAAGCTGACAAGCATTACTGAACCAAGTGATGCAGCCGCTTCTCACATGTCGCACTCCAACACACTGCACGCCTGCCGATTGGAGGCTTCCGGTCTGCATCCCTCAAAAACCACACGAACTCGCCGCCTTAAAACAAAACCTTTTGTCCAAACGCACGACAACAGTGCACACAGAAGGCATCGCCACAGCCCGAATGATCGATGGGGCTGCCCTGGTTCTGGCCATCATGCCCCTTGCCGTGCAGAGCCGTGGTCATGGGAATCATGGGAAGTCTGCTCTGCTCTGATACCGCCAGTGGCAGTTGCAGGTCTGACCGTGCGGCCGGCCGGACAGTTGTGCACCTGCCGTCTCTTCCTTCCCGTGCGAAAAAAAAATTAGAGGCTAAATGAATCATCAATATGGTGACAAGCAAGACCCAAAAAACCCAAACAAAGACGGGCAGCGCTCGAAGATTGACGTGCAAATCAAAGAACACAATTCAGCGATTGGAATTTCACAGCTTTCACATCTGACAAAAAGAACCTGTCGTGTCACGGAGCCCAAAGACTTGCACACACGCACTTGATGGATAGCATCCGGGGGCGAAGTAGGGGGTTCAACGGCTTTGAAGGCTTCGAAGGCTTCGAAGGGAGCTTCCGAGGCTTTGAAGAGCTTTGAAGGGGGGTTCAAGGGGTTTTGTCTTTCATGCACGAAAAAACAAATGTTCACAAGCCTGCGACGGCTGAAAGAAGAAACTTTTTTAGCGCTTGACACTTTTGCGCATCTGCTTGTTCTTGCACAGGAGCCGCGCCCTCCAACCCTCGCAACGAAGAAAAAGAGATTTGACGGGATTGAAAGAGAATAAAAAAAATGAAACGCAGATCAAGCTGTGACTGTTCGCTCCAAGAACGAGCACTTGGAAGGTCCGGGGGGAGGGGCGGAGAACATAACACTGGAACTTGGGGTTGGAACCCCAAGTTCGAACACCTGGAATTGAACTCTGGGTTCGAACAGTGTTTGAACTCCGAGTTCGAACAGCGGCTGCTGCGCATCCCAGTAAGAACTGCAATAAGCTGCAAGAAGCAAGTGTACGAGCAAAAGCATCCCATGGTGAAAGGCTGCGACTTGCAGACTTTGCCGGCAGATATCGTTCAGCCTTTGTGAAGCTTCAACTTTGAAGGGAACTGGTTCGAAGACCAGTGTTCGAACAAACACGGTGTTCGGATCGAACACTTTCGCAAACACCAGCAGTGGAGTTCAAACACCAGTGTTTGAACCCTCAGATCTTGATTCGATCAGTGGTTCAACACCAACAGAACGCTTTTGACAAGCACAAAAAAAAAAGCACACAAGATCGCTTTATGGAGCCGTTAAGAGAGTCGAGAAGCCAAATCGCTTTGTGGATGTTTTTCGTGAGAAAATAAAAGAGAGAACCTCCAATTCAAACACCGGTGTTTGAATCTAAAGTTCAAACACTGGTGTCCGAACCCAAGTTCGAATACCAGTGTTTCGAATCTCAAGTTGATGTTCGAAAACTGGTCAATAAAACGCTTTTAAAAACACAAATAAAAAGATCCACACAAAATCATATGGGTTTTTGAGAAGAAAAGAAAAAAAAAGCTTCTTTAAGCACCCTTCAAACCCTTTTTTTTTTGGCTTGACTGGGCCTCGTCGACCACGGCTATAGCACTCGGTCCCTACAAACAAGCAGACAACTAACAATCAAAACTACAACAAAGCGGTGAAACTGAAAAAAGAAGCTCTACGAATGGGCTGCGGCGCACGGGCTTTATCTGTGTTGGCCGTTCAGCGCTGCTCCGGAGCCTTAGCGACCGGTCCGGAGCAACAAAGAGCCGTCGCTCTGTGCCGCCCAAAACAATTTGAGGCCTCTGGTGGAATCTTGTGAAAATCCCATTTGACCTTGGATGTCCTGATGTTTTCGGCATGCCTGAAGCTGTGAAGTGCTTTTGAGTTCGGAAGTGACTGCACGTTCGTTTCGTCTTTTCGTTAGTGCTTGAAGTGTTTTGCTTGGAGACAGACAGCTGCAAGGTGTTTCACTGTCAGTCAGAGCCCGACGCGACTCCGCTTTGGCTCAAGAAAAAGACCGAGTGCTGCGCGCTCTGTTTTTCACATGGTAGCGGAGCTCCTGAGGACTTAGAAGGAGCTTTACAGCGCCATGGCCTCGCCCTTGCCAGGTGGGAGTAGTGAGACTCCTGCTCAGAACGTCTGAGGAAGGCATGGACTTCGACCTGTTTGGACCAGGACCCGTGGGACCTGTAGGACCTGTGAACAGTCCTGTTGGGTCGCCGACAGCTCAGCAAGCAGCAGCGGCTGCACCTGCGAGTGGTTCTGCAACAGTGCCAGAAGGTGTTAGTGGTCCGGCTGTAGCGCCGGCAGCTCCTGCTCAGTGTCCGGTTCCTCCGAACCCTGCGTTGGGAGGTGAACAACTGCAGCAGTTGATGTTGCAGATGCTGAACAACCAGAACACGGCTTTACAGCAACAGCAGAATCAGATGAACTTTCTGATGCAAGCTCAGAGTGCTCAGTTGACCCTCTTGAACCGCCGTTTGGACGAGGAAGAAGCCAGACGGAAAGCCGACGAGGATCGGCGAAAGGTGTCTTCGGACCCCTTTGCAGCTGCAGTGGCTGCTAGCAGTTCGGGAGCAGCGCCGACGGCGCCTACTGGGTCGCTTGTTGCCCCTCCGAGTGGGCCTGCTGCGAGTTCTGGAAGCTTTTCGAGTTTTGGTGGTCGTGCAGAGAAGTATCTGCCACCCCTGCCTCTCATCAATGCTGGTGAGATGAAGCAAGGCCGGATCCGCGAGCTTGAGGAGTTCCACCGCTTTCTGGAAGTGCTGTCCAGCTGGCTAGCATTGACCGATGACGCCTTTGTTGGCGAGCTAAGGCAGTGCTTGTTTGTTGCTGGTGAGATCCAGCAGGTTACTTTGCCCAGTGACACTGCGGGAAGAAGTGCACGTCTTTTTTACCTGTTGCAGCAAGCTTTGGCAAAGTGGGACAGAGGATTGGAGATCCTCCGGAGTGTTTCGACACGCCAGAGCAATGCAGCTGCAGGATATGAGGGTGTGAGAGAGCTTTACCGGCAGTACTCTGTGAACAGCCGCATGGAGGCGGTGTATATCAGAGACGAAATGCTAAAGCTCCACACAAAGACTGCAGCGCTGAAGCGCCCTCTGGAAGTTGTGCGTTTCCTCGAGGACGAAATCTCCAAGGGAGATAAAAAGCTGGTGCGTTTTCCCGACCTCTGCTTGAACGCCGCCGACAGATCGGCCATTTTGCTGCAAGCTGTGTCAGTGCAAGCGAGAGAGTACTTGGTGCTGCATGGCAAGACTGGCAGTTGGACCGAGATGGCGGAGAGTCTTCGTTTTTACGAGGAGCAGCTGCGCATGGTGGAGCTGCCAAGTGGTGGTTTGCGTGGCCTCAAAGGAGACAAAGGCGGGAAAGACGGCAAAGGCGCGAAAGGAGGAAAAGCCGGCGGTGCCAAGGACAAGTCCCAGATTGTCTGCTGGTACTGCGAGAAGAAAGGGCACTATCAAGAAGAGTGCCGCCAGAGGATCGCAGATGAGAAGAAGCAGGGCAAAGGCGACAAGAGCAACAAGCCCAAGGGCAAAGGCCAGGGCGACAAAGACAAAGGAAAGGGCAAAGAGAAAGGCAAAGGCAAGCATGGCAAGGATAAGGGCAAGGACAAGAAGACCAAGAAGCAGCACGCCCGTGCTGTAGCGGATGGCGAAGCAGAAGAGGAGCCGGAGGGAGAGACTGTGATGGCCCTTCGCGCTTCTGGCGAGTTGATTCCGGTTGATGCCCGTGGTGGCGTCTTGAGGACGACTCCTTCGACACCTGAGGTGCCTGCTGCGGCGCACCGAGTGACCGTTGAGCACAGAGTGTGCTTAGTTGGCATTGAGTCGCAAGATAGCTACTGGCTAGTGGATAGCGGTGCTACTTCTCATTGCATGTCGGTCTCCTGCTTCGAGAAGTATGAAGTCCTTCGCACTTATGATTTTAAGCCCACGCTGTCGAATGCCTCCAACGACATGATTGAAGTGTTGAAGGTGTGTGACGTTCGCGTTCGTTTTGGGAAGCTTGTGGTGGTGCTAGAGCATTGCTTGATCACGAACCTAGATTTCAATGTCTTGTCACCGTTTGTGGCTTGGCAGAGAGGATGGCACACCATGCTCACCAACACACCTCATATTTTCAACAAGAAGAACAAGAAACGCATTCGGTTGACTGTCAAGGATCGCGCTTGGTACGCGGTTGCTGCTTTGAAGGATTCTGGGGATAAGATGGAGGTTGATGCTTTGAAGCCCTCGTCGTCCCCGAAAGCAACGGAAAAGCCTGAAACCACGAAACCCCCGAAAGCCACGGAAAAGCCTGAAACCGCGAAACCCCCGAAAGCCACGAAAGCCCAGAAAGCCCAGAAAGCTCAGGAGCAAAGGTCTTTGGAGTCTGTGAAGAGCCTAGAGTACACGCCTTTTAAGTTTCTGCTGAGGAGCTTGAGGACGCACGGTGGTAGTGCCGTTTCGGTCTGTGAGGGTGCTGCTCTGGAGTCTCTTGAACGCTGTGAGCTTGACCGCTTTGGCTGTGGTAGCAGAAGTGGCAAGAAAGATTCTGAGGCTCAGCCGTCGTGGACCGCTGGGTCGATGATGATAAGTGTTGTGAGCTTGTGGTGCATGGCTTGCGTTGGCGTGCTGTGCTCCCTGT